CCAGCCTTCCGCAATCTGCGCCTGCCCAAGCGCCTGCGTGTGATCTACTTCCTGGCCCGCACCCGGCTTGCCCAGCGCATCATCATGGTGAGTCCATAAGGAGATGGGTTCGAGGGAAAACAGGCTGGTCTTCAAAAGCATGGTGTGACACGTCCTCTGGAACACGCTCTGCAGTATTGGCATGATCCTAGCGTTCAGAAATTGTAGCACCCTTCATCATTTTCTAGGATTTGTACTGATTCCTGGTTTCTGTGCGCCGTACATTGATAACTGATCTCAAGTGCCGTGTGACTCTCTTCCCCGGCAGGCTGGCACTGTGATATGGATTGGCATCCTGGTGTACACCGATCCCGCGGGCCTGAGGACCTACCTGGCCGCACAGGTCTCGGAGCAGAGTCCGCTGGGCGAGGCCGGTCTGCCCCACCTTGCGGTGCCGCCCGTCTTTCCTGGGGGCGACCCCACTAGCACGCTGAGTGTCCTGCCGCCCCCTGAACCCACCCCGCTTCCCGAGAACCACTCTCGGGGACACGGTCCGCCCAGTCAGCCCTCATCCGACCCGCAGATCACCTGGGGCCCTGAAGATGAGGAGACCTGGAGACGCCTATCCTTCCGACACTGGCCCTCGCTCTTCAGCTACTACAACATCACTCTGGCGAAGAGGTGGGGGCGCGTGTGCTCCGTGTGCTGTCGCTGTCGCACATCTCCGTGTTCTGTGGTACATGAGAGGTCTTTGTGATGATGAATGAATGATCAGTGCTTGGTTTTCAGAAGCAGCCATCCTTAGATTCTGCCTATGGAAACTACTACTATTCCCCAGACTTTCACACCAGTTATATCTATCAATGAAAATACTATTTTACACACACCTGAAGTTACATTTGAATTGCCAATTAGGAATTTAAATTATAATCACAACCTTGAACCATACATGTAACAAATCTAGGATCAAATCTTAAAAATGCAAAACTGTTTTGAAACTGCTTGTGGATTCTCATTAGTCTTCTCAGCTACTAAATGCATATTCCATAGCTGAATAATCGAAAAACCACAGTAAACAGGTTCCTCAAATTATTAAACAGCTTCATTGTTTTTCACACTCAAAAGGATGCATTATTTTTAGTATTGCTGATTCCAGAATCTCTTCTTCAATGTATACAGTTTCAGTTGGGACAAAGTCTGATTTTTAATTATGTGGATTTCTGAAATATGTTCACCATTACTCTTTCAGTGGAATATTTGATGTCTTGAAATCTTGAGCTTATTCATATGCATTTGTAGATTCCTGCCTAACTGTGCTATAAACTACAAATTAAGTACTATGCGCTTAATTTATGCTGTGTAAAGGAACAAGGAACGGAGATGCTTTTTTAAATGTCATGGAGTAAAACGTTCTGTCTTTTCTAAACACAAGTGCAAGAGTAAAAGTGTCCCTAAAATAATGCACTTAATTATGGATCTCAGGGAAAAAAGCACATGAGTAGCTTTTTCTAATTTAACTAATCCGTATAATTAATAAGTATTTCTATTTCCTTGCTTTGCACCCCCTGGTAATCCTCCTCTATGCGTTCTAGGTACATCAGCATTCTGCCAGTGATCCCAGTATCCCTCTACCTGAGTGCCCACGACGCCCTGGAGGCACGACACCCACAGGATACACGACACCCCCAGCCCCCGCCGGCCAGCCCTGCGCCCCCCTCCACACAGGCTGATCTCACTCTGTACAAGTCAGTGCCTGCCTCCCGCCTCCCCTATTCTCCCAGCTCCCTGTTGACCTTCCAGGTTACTAACAGTAGCTGTAAAGTACATACAAGCGCATTTCCAATGAGTGGGCATCCTTATGGAAAACGGAGATAAAACTGATATTTTATCTGTTATCTTATTTCTACTGGGGGAAAACTCGAGAAACTCATTCTTTTAGTTAATTTCATTTGTAAGAGAGAGCTTCAATAAATAAGGTAACAAAACCACTCAAAACTAGAAAATGTTTCCCCAATATTTGAATTTGTGGAGCATGGTAGCGCTATCGTCTGGTTCATCATGTGTCCACTCTTTGTGGGCAGTTTAAATGAGTTCGTTACAGTTCAGAAGATTTTGTAAATGAGGTTGAACGCTCAGGGCACTTTCTCACTCACTAGATCAGCTCTGGAAGGCCATTCATTAAAAATGGACTGCTATGCCAGGTGCTCACCTTGATAATAACAAATATCCTTACACTCATATTGCTGGGCACTCCACTCAAAGTGATTTACAGTTAATGGGGACACCCATCTACCACTACCAATGTGTAGCTCCACCTGCACATTAACATTGGGCCACATGCTTTCTGCTGCACCCATGATTTTGGACCCCATTACAGGTCAGAGGTGCTGGACTGCTCACCTCAGCCCTGATCTTGTAATCAGTGATTTCCATCTCTTCCATCCCAGTCCAGCAGGCACTTTGGAAGCATCTGTAAAGTGAAGCTGGCGATAAAGTCTCAGATCCAAGTTAATAAGCCAGACTTAATGCATCGGTGTCATGGTATTACACATGCAAGTGAAAAAGTGGTGTACTTTACCCTGATTATTGGTTACACATGTAGCTGTACAAATATGATCATGAAAGCTATTGATACCTTATTTATTGAACCTCCATTATGTATAATATTTCTTTTCTTGTCCATTTGACAGTAATCAGGCCTCATTGTGTCATTCCTCATTTACCATAGTTTACATTTTTGCTGCATTTAATTGAATATGGATTTTGCTTTTTAGAATTTTCTTAAATTCTTTTTCTTCACCCATTGTGATCAGTTGATAATCGACACATCACAGGTGCTCTCATTAAGAAAGCATGCAGTCCGGTCCCCAGCTGAAATGAAGCTAGCTGAAACTAGTTGGGAGGTTGTTTTCTGTTTTTATACAAATTGGATCAGTCACAGGCTCCCAAGCAGATCTGTAAGACCCGTAGTATAACCTGACCTGTGGGACTCGATCAGTGATGTCACTGTCTTTCCTGGAATAGTTGAGAGAGTTCAAGGCCTGGACTGAATAGTTACCAGCCATTATCTCAGACTCAGAGGTTAAACTCATTCTTTCACCAAATATTTACAGCCTCAGGGGCTCTGCCCCCTTCGTATGGCATTGGACACTCTACGGCTCGTAAGATAAGCATCATTGAGAGGGGAGGACCACAGAGAGATGTCAGCTAGCTTGTTTTTAGATATATTTCTAGTTCTCCAAGACATAGTACCTGTCATCAAAGGGGAAGCAGACATCTGTGCCAGGATCCTTTTACATGTTTGTTTGGCTTTTTTTGTTCTTGTTTCGCATAGGAGTTCTAGGTCTGTTGCTCCCATGTGTGAGTCTTGATTGTATCACTGCTGTTTGTAGTGCGAAGGAGATCACATCTGTAGTGCAGAGAGATCACAAGAGGGAACTGTTTCCACATATTTGAAAATCCTCCCTTTCTCTGTCTCACTCCATCCCCTCCACCTGCCTCTCTTTCTGTCCCCCAATCTCTCAGAGTGGCTGCTCTGGGGCTTGCAGCAGGCGTCTTGCTGGTGATCATCTTGTTCTGTCTCTACCGGGTTCTCTGCCCCCGGAATTACGGCCAAAACGGCGTGTCGCATGGACGTCGTCGCCGTGGAGACCTGCCCTGTGACGACTATGGGTATTCTCCCCCCGTCAGCGAGATCTCACCGTTACTGCTGCGTGGGCACAATATGGTACGGCACTGCCAACTGCCTTCAGAGTCATACTTCTTGTCAGAACAGGCTAGCCAGGGAAACCTTTGGATGGCATTAGGTTTACCTTTCACCTTAAACAGGTGTTGCATTTAAGTAGAACAGAACTTCTAAATGGGTAAAATTGCAGTATGAATATGGGTTAAACTGTTTTTCAACTCATGCATTTGTTCAGTCCCCATGATCAATGACTTGAGGACGTCGGCGTAAATTAGATAACTTCTCTGCACACACTGGAGCCACCTTTTCAAAACTGTTGTGGGTGCTTGTTTTAAATCCTACCCATATTTGCAATGCGTTTCTCTGCCCTCTCCTCTCCCCCGGTTGTCCCTTCATTTCTTATGCTGTTAAGAAGACTGTTTGCCTTGGTAATACACTTCTGCTGATGTCAGTTTGATAAAAAAAAATATTTCCTTTATCTTTATTATCCCCTATGCGTTGGGGGAAAAATATTCCCTTTCCTGTTAGCAAAGAATTCAGGCTTAACTTTGCAGAAAAGTAATCCAAGTCATTCAAATTGATTACAGGAAAAAGCAGGAGGCTTCCTGCAAAAAGAGTTTTGAATCCCACTTTTAACAGGCTCCTTTCGCTGAAGTGAGGGATATGAGTTTCACATATTAAAATAGTGAAATTCAGGAAGAAAAATAATTCTAATAACCTTTTGAAGAGGGTCACATGCCAGCGTTTTTTTGTTGCCAGCATTGCTATGCGGCTCACGTTAATAGCACTGTGTCACCCGCTGTGTGTGCAAACAGGATATTGAGTGTCTGGCCAGTGATGGGATGCTCCTGGCCAGTTGCTGCCTGGCAGGACAGATCCGTGTGTGGGATGCCCAGACAGGAGACTGCCTGACTGTTATCCCCAATCATGGGTAAGATATACTGTTGTGCTGTTTCAGCGCTATCCTGAATCACATCTATAATCACTCTCTTATTTTCCCTTATTAGCTTTATCCAGGACATAAAGCCTCCTGCTTGTGCTCACTGTGGCTCAGTGTTTCTGTTCTCTCTCTGCGCAGGCTGCGTCGGAGCAGCAGTGGGGCCTGGGAGCAGCGAGATGGCTGGGATGGAGGGTCTGTGTTTGAGCCGGAGGTCTCGGATGGGTACGAGGGGCAGGAGGCAGGAGGGGGGGTTCCAGCACCCGGGGGGACAGGATACCCTGTTAGGAGGAGAGTGACCCCCTCGCGCCTTGTGCTATTCGGAGACCAGCCTGACCTCACCCCCTTTATCGACACCAATTTCACAGAGCAGCCACCCCCCTTGTGTCCCACCCCGTCGGGGGGCTTTGATTTTGGAGAGCTGGTTCAGCGTGCCTACAAAGAGCACGAGGCCTCAGCTGGCCTCCCAGGGTACCCCCCCTCGCCCCCGACCCCCCTCCAGCGACGCCGCAGCCTGGGAGACCAGCCCCTGCCTCCTCCCGAGCTGCCGTCCCCTGTACCCCTGGACTGGGACAGCGCAGTGTGGGCTCTGGAGCTCCGGGGAAACCTCATTGCTGCCGGGCGGAGCAGCGGCAAACTAGAGGTGAGAATGTTCTAGAGCCTGTAAGCCTAAGACTGTGAAAGAGAATTAGAGAGAGGCTTAGAGGGAGACAGAAACAGCAAGGAGAGGAAAAGAGGAAGAGTAGAGCACCACCCTGGCGGACTTTGGATGCAGTCAGGGTGTAACATTGCGTTTTTAACTTCAGCTGTGGGATGCAGTGGAAGGCTGCCTTCGCTGTTGTAATGAAGACGGGACATCTGGGATCACAGCATTGGCCTTCCTCAACAACCGGTGAGATGACCACTGATGGCATTGTTGCTTGGTTTACGTTTGGGGCTCACCTCTTTCCAGAACGGAGAAAATGTTATAATGGAAGCGGTATATTGATAGTCTGGTCTCTCTCACTGCTGTCTTAATACACGCACGTTTTTGTTTTGACTGAGAGACATTTGTCGGGGGGAGGAATGTCCTCCCATTTTTTCCACTAGGGCTTAATGCCCAGTTCAAATGGCAAAGTCTGCACCAGAGCCCCAGCAAGTCGTTGGCTCAGAACTTATCCTGGTCACTGTGCATGCGACTCCCTCGCAGGATGGGATGTTTGGATACTCTCCCCAGCCATGCTGGTTCCCATTTATATTGCTGGGTAGACTGGAGCAGCAGGGGTAACGTACCGCACTCAAGGTACAACAGCAGTGTCTGCAGTGGGTGTCTTGAACCCACTGAGTCATGAGTCCAATAGATTATCCACTATGCCACCCTGATCCCTACCTCATTGAAAAACTGGAGGTATACCTTTGTAGTCTTTTCTGGTCATTGTTGGTTTGGTTACAGTGTGACTGTGTGTGTTGCAGGATTGTGGCAGCTCGGCTCAATGGGTCTCTGGACTTCTTCACAGTGGACATCAACAAGCCCCCATGCCTGTTGCAGTACCGGGGTGAGTCTCTCCACCAGCACACTTTGCCAGGTTCCTGCTGGTGAGAACGTGTCCATACGATACCCTGTCATTGTTAAAACTTCAGCCTTGACACAGACGTGGTGCTGTTGTGGAAAAAAATCGCCAATCCTAAAATTGAGCACATGCAAAACACACCTGTAATGGGTAAAATGGCCATATTCCTCATATAGGACCGATGCAGAAGGGTGATGTCTATGCAGCAGGGGATCAACACACATTCAGGGGGATTTTCTCTTGGTATTTTCTGTATTTTCAGGTGTCATTTTTACACTTGCTACAGAAACATAAGTTCTATTTTTTAAGCTAAATATAAAATCTAAAAGTTCAAAGGGGATAACACGAGCAGATTTATTTTTATTTTCCTTGTTATTCATAGTAGCTCCTAGATATGAACAGCTGAAACAAAGACCAGATGTGTTGATAGACCTGTCTATTTGGCCATTTTGTTTGGTTGGTGAGGAATGCGTTTTTTCAATCAGAATATGGTCATTTCTCATATGTGCATTTTCATCCAAAATAACAGTTTCAACTGTTGGTCAGGGTGTTCTCTAAGACCTTCAGTTGCGTTAAAAGCTTGAAGGATAAAGTCGAGCAATAGACAGTTTGTGAAGCCAATTAGTGTCACAGAAAAACACATCAGTGCATTATTATGAGACAGTTGTTGTTTTTTGCAATAATCATTCTAATGAGCTACCATTGTATATAACTAAAGCTGTATCTGCCACTGCTTGTCATGTCTGATTTAACATTTAACAAAAACATGGTTTAACTGTCTCAAAAAACTATTTTCACTAGTCTACTTTCATTTAAGTGTGAATTGTTATTGAGATTCTGTGACATTGTGAAGCACATAATAGATTGCACTGACTGGGATACGTTTCTGTCTGTTCATTCATCCATCCATCTTCTATCCAATTTATCCAGTTTGGGGCTGTGGGAAAGCAGGAGCCTATCTGGCAAGCTGCATAGATGTTTTTTTCAGGTTTTTCATTCAAAAACTGATAGTTGACACCTGGTGGCTTCATCAAAATGTTCTTTAAGCTTAAGACATAATGAATTTTGTAGTTTTCTGCCCTCAGAAACAAGACACTTAACTTGAACAACTTCAGGTCCCTAGAACCCAGTTTTGAAGTCAAGAGAGCAATGCATTTATAAAGAGAGCGCTGTTGGTGGTGATTTGTTACCAGCAAAATAGCCCAATGATTTTGCAGAATAATGCAATGTTGTGTAATTAAAATGCAACAATTATTGTGAAATGCCACAATGTTGTCTCCATATTTGCAATAATTACAGCACAATAATGCAATATTATCTGGTTAAAATGCAATAATATTTTGTGCTACATGGAGTTTTAAGGCTTCCACAGTTTTTCTTATTTGAAGTTTTTGGAAAGATGAGGTGCTTAAGAGGCACCCCAGTGATTAGGATTCTGCTCCGTGCTTAGGCACCCCCAATCGAGGCAGCATGCCACCGTCGCCCTGTTACAGCAGCGATGATGTCATCAGCTGTCAGCTGACGCGCTCCGTGCAGTGTGCTCATCAGAAGCCCATCACTGTCCTGAGAGCTGCGGCAGGGCGGGTCGTCACCGGCAGCCAGGACCACACTGTCAGGGTAAGGATGATAATAATAATAATTGCTTACACTTATATAGCGCTTTTCTGGACACTCCACTCAAAGCGCTTTACAGGTAATGGGGTCTCCCCTCCACCACCACCAATGTGCAGCATCCACCTGGATGATGCGACGGCAGCCATAGTGCGCCAGAACGCTCACCACACATCAGCTAT